CCCAGAGCCCCACTGAAGAGCATTCAAGGCTTGGGGGGACATCTAGAGACAAGCCAGAACCACGGCATCCCACTGTGTTAGATAGGATTTGCTTCACTTTCACACAGTCATACTGTTTTCAAAGCTGGGCTCCAGGGCCAGGAAGATAGCTCTGTAGCATAAGCACCTGCCTGGCAAGCACAAGGTCTGAACTGAATCCCTAGTACCAAAAAAAAAAAAAAAAAGTTGGGCTCCAGCCAAATTCCACTTTTCCACTAATTTCCACCACAAAATTGGTCCTGTACAGCCACACTGCAGTCCTAATGTGCAGCTGGCCCCAGATGTGTTCCCATCTATTAGGTGCATCCTCACAGGCCCAGGGCTCTGCATGAGTTTTAATGCCAGGCTCTGCCTTCCTTCACTGGTCCTTTCCCTCCCTGGCCCTGCTTTACCTCCGTGTAGGGCTCTCAACCCATTTGAATCCTTCCCAGCATTTAACTTAGCCACAATTTCTAACCCAGCTCCCAGAGTTCCACTGTCAACATGCCTCACCTACCAAGCTGCAATACAGCAGTCTGCCAATAGGCGCTGCCCGTTAGCACCAGGTAGGTGTGGAAACTACGGGGTGTAAGGCTCAGGGAGACTTCAGGTGACTGCGCTGAGCCCAGTGTGAATGCTGGAAGCACTTCAGGACCACACAGCCCAAGCAGCTACGACACAGGTGAGGATGCGTGGAAGAGGCCTGAACTGACGTAAGTGCCCTCACTTTGATGCCCTTGACCAACAGATATGCTGAGAAGAGCACAGAAAATTCAAGTGTTCAGGGAACGAACAGAAAGACAGAAATACACACTAATACCGAAGATCCCACCTGAAGGAAATTTTAACTTCTAGAGAAGTTAGTGACAGTGCCTTAAGAAAGACCCTGAAGTCAAGCAAATGTAAGCCTGAGTGGACTATTTCCTCTAGTAAAGAGCCACCTCAGGACTGACACTGCCAGGGCCGCAAGGAAGCAGGCTGCCCCCAGTCACCCTGGAAGCACCGGAAGCCAGGGACATGGAGCCATGGCGGCAGATGCCAAGCAGCAATCTGAGGACAGAGGAGGAGGAACAGGCCTCAGTTCAGATGCAAACGGCTCTCAACAGAAAATAGTGGCTAAGAATGGCAAATGGGATTTGTGAATTTGCTCTGGCTTCTATAACCTGTGGCCGGTTAGCAAAGGTCTGTGATCTGTATAGCACACACATATTTATCTGGGGCCAGGGTCTTCATGTCCCTGGAAAAGGTTAAGACCCACAATGCCTCCCCAAAATGACTGAGGGCAGATATGGTGCAGTGCCAAGCCATGCAGCAGGGGCTCGAGCCTGGCGGGCGGCTCCCAAAACCCCCTGCTCCCATACGGCCTCCCACAAGCCAAGGCAGCTGCGCCACTGTGTCCTCAGAGCTTCCCAGGAGAAACAAGTCTGGCAGCCACAGGCCTGGGAGCCCGGCTCTGCACGAGGTGCACTGATAAACAATCCAACTTGGACTGACGAATCTTCCAGGGACACACACACAAAAATATAATTTAGTATTTTTATCTTATAGATTAGGAAACATACTGAGAGAAGTGAAGCAATTAATTCCAAGTGATCTCTGACTCCCACGTGAGCCGTGGGTCACGGCTTCTACCCTCGCGTGTCCCACAAGGCCTTTCCCACACAACCACCCCAGCCTCCCCCTGGGACGGACTGTCCGCTGCCAGGCGCTCAGATGGGACTACACAGTGCAGGGACCAAGGCTCCTTCCTCCACCGCTCATGCGCCTGTGCCCAGCAAGGAGCCCAGCTAAGCAGAGAAAGACGACACCCACCCCAGGCTTCACTTCCCACACAACAGGGCCAAGGGGGTGACAGGACTGCTTACTCCACACCTGCCTGGCCCTGTTAAGAGAAACCTGTATCTGAGGTTTACATTTTTCAGTGTTTCTTCTGTATTTATAGTCTAAGTCAAACATCTCTGAAACCAGCCTTAGAATTGTAGGTTTTTCAAACAGTGCCACGAAGTGCTCTCAACTACGTTCTCCTAGCACACATGCAGCAAAAGCCAGCGAGGGGCGGTATAAGACTCCCTGATGGAACAGGAAAGGAACTCACAAGCAGGTGTGCCCTTCCAAGAAAGAGTGCAGGGATCTCCAAACTCAGGCAGGGACCTGGGCACAAACACTCGCTGGGGGGGGGGGGGGGGATATAAGAAGGGGAGGGAGGAGAGGGGGGGGGGGGGCTGCCTTGTAGGTCACAGGAAGTTGAGCAGCCTTCCCAGATTATAGGCAGTAACAACTCCCACCCAAATTTAACAATCAAAATATCTACACACACTGCAGCCCTCTACACTCCGTGACCAAGAGCACAAAAGCAGCTTCTCACGTGACCAGTCCCACTGTACTCTCACCTCAGCTTGGTACTTGTGACAGAAAAATATCCAGTCTGATTTCTAAATCATAACTTTTTAAAATCCTCACAGTGGCTTACTGTACAGAAAAAGCCAACACTTGATTACTTGTTAGTTTTGCATTGGCACATACCCTGTTCCACATTTACTGATTAAGTTTTTCAACTTTTCTATAGAGAATTTCTATAGAGCTTTCAAAAGTTAGATCCACTTAGGCTTCAAGAACATGGGTCCTCAAAAAGGTGGATGAGACAAGAAAAAGGAAGTGGTGAGGCACGGACAGGGGACTGCGGACGGGGAACGGGGGCCGGGCTTGCCAAAATGTATGCTGCATAAGGTGAAATTCACGCCAGAACCAACTTCACATGATGTGTAAAGCTAACACACACAACAGAAACACATAAACATATATATTAAAAATACAGTGTTTTTTTTAAATTTATCTTTTTGAGACACAGTTTCACTGTGCAATTCAGACTGATCTTTAACTCCCAGCCAGGTTGGCCTCAAATTCACAGTGATCCTCCTGCCTCAGCCTCATGAGTGCTGAGATTATAGGCGTGTGCCACCATGTCCGATGGTTAGTCATTTTTTAAAGAGATATAACGTTAAATAAACATCATGTGAAAATATTAAATTTAGAAAACTCTTGAAGTAAGAGCTCCCTTCCAAGTGACCTCTAAGGCCTGAAATACGCACTGTGGCCCTATTTATTACACAGATCACAGAGTAACGTAGTCACTGCTGCATCAACTAAGAGAAAGGTTTGTTTCAGGGAGTTAAGAGACCTGGCTCTCAAACTGACGAGAACCTGTTCCATGAAATATGTCAAGGAATATTTTAGTGACTTACACTGTAGCTATGTAAAACCTCATTAAATTCTGAGGCAAAGCTGCACTACTTGGTTAACACTGAAATAAAAAGTAAACCAGGGACTACAATGAGCCACCCACAGGTCACTCACGCCAGGCCAGCTGTCCGATGACTTGTCTGGCCTACAACTCCTTGCCTGACAACAGAACCGCCTCCTCTCAGGAGAGGCTTTCAGCAATTACCAGCTAGTAACAGCCCAGATTTGAGAAACACATTAGTGAGAAGAGCTGATTTGCAATCTGTTGTCCAACAATGAAAGTGACAAAAACGCAGACTTGCTACATCAACTTTACGTTCAGGCAATGAAGACACGTGAGAACCAAGAGGCACACCAGACCTGAGAGCACAGGGCTGCAGCGCCCACTACACGAAGACACAAAGTTTTGACTTGGCTCTATCAACAGCTTTTAAATTAATCACCCTAAGCTAAAAGCTATATATGTACTCTTTGACCTTTTTCTCTTTTTTCTTCCTTTTTTTAACTGTATTTGGTACACGGTCTCACTCGCAGCTTGGACTTGCAGTGATCCTTGTGTTTTCAGCCTCCCCAGAGCTGGGATTACAGGCATAAGCCCAGACTCCATGGCTGGCTGAGCACGCCTCTGGGGCCGTGCTTGGCATGGCATGTGGTGCCAGGGATCAAAGCCCAGTCCCTGAGCTTGCCTAAGCAGATGCTCAGTCCACTGAGCTACCTCGCTAGCCCTTTCTGATCATTCTTAACAACTTCTCAATGCTTAAGGTTTAGAAAAGCAAAGTGATTTCTTTTTGAAAACAACAGTTAACAGTTTTGAAATACTTGAAGCATTTCAGTGGAAAAGTAATATTCCACGCGTAACTGAGTATGATCTTCGTTCACAGTAAGCATGCCGTAAAGTTAAACTAAGGAATGGAAAACAGCGCCAGCTGGAGCCATGAGACGAGAAGGCACTTCCTGCGACAAAGCACAGTGACAGATCACTTAAGGAACAACCAAATCGGCATGACGTGGGCTGTCAAGCTGCCCAAAAGGGAAAGGGCGGCAGGCAGTGTCCATCCCTCAGCGTGGACTGGGCGCAGCAGCAGGGCAATGATTCCTGAGCACTGGGGAGGGGACAGCAGGAGGCGGGAAACACCCCCCTTCTCCCCAGCTCTGTGAACCCCTAGGGCCTGGGGCCTGGGCCCTGAACCCGCTATCTGCTGAACAACTAGAAGTGCAAGACAGGGGTGGCTGACGGCCAGAATACGGGCAGACATACCCATGTGTGATTCAAATGGTCACAAATGTCCAGAGATTTTCCTATGATACTTTTACTTAGAATTAATGACAATACATATATGGTCTAAATAAACAAATTTTACAATTTACTAAATTATCAGTATTTTCCCACTAACATATGTAGGAAAAATCCAAGAATGGATTTTCTTATACCCAGAGTACTTTTTTTCATTAGATGTACTTTACAGCTAAAAATTCATTATATTCTTTTGTGTTCAAAAAGCTTAGTGATTTAGCAGTGCACACACATGTGCCACTTGTCTTCATGTGGACACTGACAGAGCCAAATATATTCAGAGCCTTACTGCACTGATGTCTGTGAAACTGGAAACCATGGCATGTGCTTGAATATCTTTTAATTTTTTATTTTTTGAAATCTTTTAATTTAAAAGGCTAAGCATTCAAGAACCCCTCACAAGGCGTCACGTGGGGCACACGTGCAATCTAGCCCCCTCCCCACTCACCTGGATAACTTTATAGAAATAGGCATACTGTCGAGCTGTGTTTTTATACTGGCTAAAGACATCATGGATAGCTTGTGTTGACTGCAGACACCGAACTTCCTCTTCTTCAAAGTAGAGAGGAGTGTCGTACTCGCTGGGAAGGGTCTGGATGTAGGGCAGCCAGAAAGAGTTGGGGCTGGCTCGCTCACACAGCAGATGAAAGGCCAGGGCGATATTGCCCATGGCTTGAAGAATTCGGTCTTGAGAGTATAAGGGCCCTGAATTAATCCAGAAGTTAGCAGTGTAAGTTCCACAGGCTTCTTTAAAAAGCAGTCATACAAAGCATGCATTAAAATTGTAGGAAAAAAATCAAAAGGTCCTGTACCATGTAAAGTCACCTGCATCTTTATGTAAACATAAAGTGGAAAGTAATATGTACTTGAGGGACTATATCACCAGCTGAGAAAAAAACTAGATATAGTACTTAGCACCAAAAATGGAATTTTATATATTCCTGTCACTTATACTTTGCTTTAAACAGTCAGAAATTATTCTCACCCAATATTGAATTTTTAGCAGATTCAACAGTCATTAGTAATTTTCGTGGAACCCATAAAAACAATTCTTCTGCCTAGAGTAAAAAAAAAAACAAGAAAACAGTACAATCATCAAAATATGTTACAATCTTCAATCCTATCCTAAATCAGAAATTGAATCACAAACAAAATATAACTCATGGTTCCATTATCAGCAAATATTTTCTAAATATCACATCTATTTTTAAATGTAACACACTGTATTAGCAGAAGCATAGTTTAAAATTCTGTTTCCAGAGAAAAATGGGAAATGGTACATACTGGATAACTATACCAAAAAGGTAAATAATAAAAAAAGATTTTCAACTTCAATTAGAAGCAAATTAAGTAACACCTGGAGTATAGCACAAAAACTATTCATTGTATCCTTTGTTATATTTTAAGTTCTAAAACAAAGCAAAACACTTCCTACCCCAGCAAAAGCCCTCATCTGTCAGTGGGAAGTGCTCATGCTGTTGAGGCGCTGAAGCCACAGGGCCACCCCTCCCCGACCTACCTGTTGGAAAGGCATGAGTCCGCAGGCTACGCTTGCCGCTTGCCGGAGCTTACTAATCTTTCTCCTAAATGCCATCTTGCTTCTTGGGCAACATGAGAGTGCTCTTGGTGCACTCTCCGGGCACCTAACCGATTCTTACACTTCCCGGTCTCCAGGGTCATAAGAAATAAATACTGCCTAAGCCACCCACACTCCCAGGAAGAACAGGGTGGGATGACCACAGCTAACGCGTCCTAGGGAGCAGTCTAAGAGATGGGAACAGGTAACATCCTCCTTTGCTGAGGTCTCCTGTTTCAATCATTTTTATGTGTCTTATCAGTTATTATAATTATAAGCACTGTGAAGGAAAACATCTGGCACAATAAAAAATGGAGTATCATCAACACAGTAGTTATTTCACAAGCACTGTAGGGTTTAGCAGTGTATCAACAAAAGGCTATCTGCATTTTGCTAAAAACACTGGAGGTGAAGGGGGCCAAACAACACCCACTCCCTCTACCTCAGTTTTGAAAAAACCAAGGGAAACACCAGTCTACAGGATACCTACTGCATCCCAGACCAGCTGGAGGCTTCCCAGGAACTACATCGCTGCTGCTTGCAGGGAGAAGGCACAGAGCAGCCACTCCCACCAGCAGATGTCCCGCCTATTGCCTTCTCTTCTGTAGGAGCAGCAGCAGCAGCAGCAGCAGCAGCAGCAGCAGCAGCAGCAGCCGCAGCCGCCAGGAGGAGGGGAGGCTGGGAAGGTCTGTTGCTCTGCCCCCTCTCCTGAAAGGAAGGCCCCAGCACGGACACAGCACCTCCCTCAGCAGAGGCCTACTCCACATCCTGGCTAGGTGAGTGGCACTTGCACCACTCATTTACCCAGCACCCTGGGGAGTGCCCTTAACTCAGACATCCACCCCACCGATAGGAGAACCCATGCTTCTCTCTCAGAAACCTCTGTGAAGTGTTCTCTAGTCTCCCAAACAGAGCTCAGAAGGGGAGCCAACTTGTCCTGGTCCTTGTCCAAGGCAGCTAGTTCCATGCAGCTCCCCAGGAGGCCAAGCTGGCAGGGCTGGGGCCACACTGGGTGGGCTTCCCGCCTTCCCTACAAGGCTTTCCACAGGGCCCAGGCATTGGCCCCACGCATAGCTTTCAACACCACACCACATCTGAAACATGCTTAGACCCCTCAGACCAAGCGTGTATAAACTCACCTTGATATCTTTCGTTGCTCTCAAACCGAAGCCCTCTTCTTTGAAGTTAACCATTTCAAAGCCCTCGACAGAGGCCCCATTTTCAGAGGCCCATTTCATTAGATCAGGAAAGTAATCTTCTCTTTCGCCATCAAAAGTAACAGACAGACCTATATTAAACACATGTGGAAAACAAGAGCCGCTTCAGGACATGTCATTCACAGAGCTCTTAGAAAGTAAAAGCAGAGCACAGTCACACTGGGACTAGGCTTAACGCTCCGGTCTTGAAATAAGCAGTCATGGCACATGCCTAACCAAGTGCCAGAAAAGGGGAATTAAAGTCCTGCACTGCCTATCGGTTACAGAAAAGTACATCCTGGTACTTCCTAGGTGATACGCCGCACAGGAGCACTACTAGATAACGTGATGGCAAGGGGAGAAATGTCTCTGTTGCTGCTACTCCACTGTACAGCACGGCTGCCTCCTCTGGAGTCTAACATGCCATGTCTCATAGTCACACTGGCCTTCACCAGATTCCCACTGAAACAAAAAGCCACTGCTGACACATGGGCACTGGAGACCTGGGAAGGGATGGGAACCTCTACAACCCTGATGTGATGCAGAGCTCTATGACACGACATACCAGAACATTTAAACAAGTCAGGCCTACAGTTATCAATGTAAGTAAAACATAACTTATACACTGTGCTCTCTAAAAAGTCAAGTAGGGCTGGAGATATAGCTCAGTGGCACAGCACCTGCCTGGCAAGCACAAAATCCTGAGTTCAAGTCACAATACCAATAATAACAGTAATAATGTGAAGTTAGTATTACACTATGTAAATTTTAGAACACGTTTACATGGCTGCAATTGTCTTCGTAGTATTATGAGGTTATGCATAGAGGAGAAAAGCATTCACAGCAAAGATGAACACTCGCTGAGGAGGGAAGGGATGCTAAGAATGGAACCATGGGCTACAGCCATATCTGTGTCATCTTATCCCTTAGAAACAAACCCTAAAGCCGAGCAAAGGATGGAGGGTGGGGAGGAGGAGAACAGTAGGTAGGAAAGAAGAAAAGAAGAATCTAACACAACTGTGGCGCTGTTCAGGCGGGGTAGCAGAAGCTGAGGTACGTGTTACACTGTCTTCTAAACCTTTCAGCATGTTTGAAACACTCAAAAAGGCTGAATGGCCACGTGCACAAAACCCCACGATGTTCTGATGATTCAATGGGGGGAGCAGACACTTCATGAGCACGCAGGAGGTGCCCAGCATAGTACTGTGTCACACCAGTACTATGCACCACACGTGCAGAGACGCTGCTGGAGAAGACAGATGACTAGAGCTGGATACACGTTGTCAGAATTTGCTCTTACCTCAGTGAAATTAATAAATGTTCCAACTTTGGTGTCAGCCTGAGACAATATTCTCTACTTGGAGGAGAAGCTTGAAACAGACAAAAATTTTCTGTCTGCCTCTCTGATGAGAAAGGATTACCCCAGTCTACAACCTAGCACATGCCGCTTAACCTGCAGCCCACAGGCTGCTTGCCACTTTTTGAAAAATGAATAGTATAGTAACAGATGGAAAAGAAAGATCTGTCGGGGCTGGAAAGATGGCTCAGTGGTCTAAAGCACCTACTTGAAACAAGCTTGGCAAAGCACAGGGACCACGGTTCGATCCCCCAGCACCACATGCCAGCCCGCCCCGCCCCCAGGTGGGCTGAGCTGGCCACACACACACACTAAAAATAAATGTTTAAAAAAAAAAAGAGAGAAAGATCTGTCATTTATATAGATTAAATGCATTACATCTTTCATCTGTGGCCCACGATGGTTCTGCCTCCCTCACTGAGGCCCAGCAAGCAAAAAGGTTGGTTACGCCCACTTCTAGTGCAAATAAACACCCTGTAAAGGAACCTGCCCCCTTCCTACTAGGGATTTGGGACCAACCGTACTGAGGACCTTAAGACTACAGACATGTTACAGATGTGCATGTGCACACACTTCAGGACAGTAAGGCAGCGAGCCGATGAGGGTTCTCTGGCCCTTTCCGAGTGTGCCCCTTACACATTTTCTCCTGCTACCTCCCCGGGATTCTGCATACCAAGCCACACTTCCCACACTTTAGAGAACAAAAGCAATGGGCACTGAATGAGCCTTTTCAGAGCAATACTTGGCCCCGCTGCCAGCCTGGCTGAGAACCAGGGCAACGGCCATGAAATGTACCCTTAAGAAATGTAACTCCATGTCTGAGCTGAGCAAGATAAGCTGCAGTCAATCACGAACATGTAGTAGGACACAGCCAAGCAGCACAGATGTGTGTACCTGGCCATAAACAGTTTTATACACGGTCCTCAAATGCTAAGGAAACACAGTATGAAAGTAAGAGTTAGGGGCTGGGGAGATAGCTCAGTAGAATAAGCACCTGCCTGGCAAGTGCAAGGTTCCAATTTAAATAAATATTTCATAAAATATAAATAAAGCTCAGCCTCCCCACCCCATGTAAACACTTTCCCTTACAGCTCAACACTTTCACCCTCTGGTCTCAGAGGCGGGCACGGTCCCAACCATTTCCCAAGACATACTCTCGGGGTCCAGGAGCCTTTCTACAGACAGGAACCTACAAGCTGAGATCTCTTCTACTTTCAACATGCTGACCCACACCAAGCTTCCATGTGACATTATTAAAATGTAATTAATTATCTAGCAATTTTACCTTTTTGCTTTTTCCGTATTTTCTCCACCAGAGACCGGATCTGCACATACTCCTCCCATTCTTTCCCCGGGCTGGGTGCGGGACTGCTGCACTCTGTAACATAAGAGACGCCGTGTGAAACATCCTCCCTCATCCTCACACAGTGGTCTGCATAGGGAAGAGAGCTCAGATTTTGTTGGCTCTTGTTTCAAGGACAGGATTACCTCCATGCAGGCAGTAAACAGGCAGTGTGTCAGTATAAAGCAAATATACTTTTCAAAACACATAAACCCTCTGAAACCTACCAGTGGCCTCATTAAAGTGTGACCAGCCCCTCTGTGCACGCAAGTCCTAGCTGCTACCCACCTGTCCTTGCTGCTCTTCCTCAGAAGACATTTGTGAAAAAGTAACATCTAAAAAGCTCAGCTGAAATGAAGAATATCCCCAAAATTCTTCTAGGTGGTAAAAGGAATGTAATCTTTTTAGGTAAGTGGCATAACAATGGCTCGCCAAGGAAACCAGTTAAATTGGACATAAGGATAATTAGTTAAAGAACACTTCACAGCCCTGTGCCCAGCACTATATTAAGCACTCTGGGGGAGTTCCAAAGGAGATGGCATTGATGTTGCTGAAAAAGATGCTAAGACTCTACTCTGGGACCAGAACCAGAGACCAACACCCCGGGGCCTGGCTGGTGTGCCGTGTAGCCCTGGCCCCTGCGCAGCTTACACCAGTTCACTCCTTCGCAAAACACCACAGCAGTGTGAAGAGGGAGGACCCCTTCCCACGCTCCTACTGATCGAACCTCTGGCCTCCCTTTGCCCCCTAAGGGAAGTGCAGATGAGGCAAATAATTAACATGAGGTGGCTCTGTGTTGAGCCCTAACTTTCAGGCTAACCAGTCTGACTTCATTCTTCCTCCAGGGCCCTGTGGTGGCCCTGTGGGAAAGCTGCCTCTAGGATGGTGGTCAGGGGACAGTGGTACAGACAGCTAGGCTCTGCAGGGGCCCACACAGGTCACAGGAGGACCTGACCCTGACTTGGCTGCTTATTGCTGTCAGTGAGGACAAGCTAAACTTTTATAGGCGGTTCAGCTGTCACAGAAGGTAAACACAGGGGCAAAGGTCAATGGAGTGATCACAGCTAAACAACACCAATTTAAATTCACAGTTTTAAAAAGTTACCAAGTTATGCTAACTCACTAAAGCAAGCATGAGCACTTAAGCACCTTCATTTCCTGGAAGCAAGAGCTCTTGAACTTCACGTAATCACTGGGCATGAGGCTAGCCACTCAGCAAGGCCTCACGGAGACAGGCAGGCTGCTGCACTGCCACATGCAGCGCTCACGAGCTCCCTCGCCATGCTCCTGCCCCGCCCCAAGAAGCAGTCACACATGGTCGCTGCTGAGGACACAGGCCCACGATGTGAAGTAACGGAGCCTGTCCATGCCCCAGCACCTGTAAGGACCCCTCCCTGCTGCTGAGCCAAAGCCCTATATCGGACAGCCACATGTCCCAGCAGGTACAGAGTGGGCTGCGAGTGCCCACATCCCATGGTGACATGGCTCCTGACCAGGAGGAGACATGAGCTGTCTGCCCTACATGCCCATCCAGGGGCCCAACTCTGCATGACAGGAACAGCAGTAGGGACAGTGAGCAGCACTTACTCTGCAACAGTTCACTGGTCAGGTTCAAGATTTCCTTCGGAGACACGCTGGCTGCAGCCCCAGTGCCTGATTTCTGAGTTTTTACTCGACTCTTCTTACCCATTTTCTGACTACAAGAGAGAAAAGACAAAGAAATTACATCACCAAGTAACAAAACCAAGTAATAAAATGTGTCATGGCAGCCTGCTAACCACGAGATGCTAAGACCTGACCTGGCTGTTTCCTGAAGTTTCTTTCCAGAAAAAGAGACATGTATCACTAGTACTTAAAGACTCTTCAATGGGAAACATTAACAAATACACATAGACATCCCATGGCAGTCACGGGAATGTTTTTTTTTTAACTTATTAATACTACAGAATAAGCAAATTTCACTCTAGAATGTTTTAACTACAAAGATTTTATTGTGCATACTAAATATTTATTCCACAACACTGCACGCATAGCTATGATGTACATACGAGACACACACACGATCATACGGGCACAGACATAGATGCTCTCTGCCCACTTTCCTTTACAAGAATCTTTTCCCACTAGCAGGAACTACAGGCTAAGCGGCAGTTCACTGGTCAGATTCAAGATTTCCTTTGGAGACACTCTGGCTACAGCCCCAGAGCCTGACTTTCGGGACAAAAGATTTAGATGTGTCTTCTCTCAGTCCACAGAAAACCACTGATTCTTTGTGCACTGAATGAATGCACAAGGCTAAGTGCTAAAATAATGGGGGAAAGCTCAACACAGTCTACAGGGTAATGAAACTGGAGAGAGAATGTAAGCGCGACATTTCTCCCATGGAAAACCCCAAGCGTCTCGCCACAGCTTTGCTAGAAGGCCATGGCACGCATCACCTGGCCTGGCACCGCAGCCACCACAAGTCTTGGATCAACGGACACAGAGAAATGGCCCCAATGCCTACAACCAAATGTAAGTGTGTAGCACAAGACAAACCAGCGACATTCTGGGTAAAGGTCTCTACGTTATGGCATGCTTCTCAAAGGAAGGAGCCTGCATGTTCACAGAAAAGGCCAAGCAATACATGGACACGGGCCAGACTGAGAAGCACTAGAGACGTGGGCCCTATGGCCTGAGAGCCGGGGTCTGGTCGTTGAACTGCAGTGTGTTAGGAGAGCAACCAGGAAGACGGACAGAGAGTCCAGCCACGGATGGTAGAGCAGTAAGGAGCAGGCCACCCCAGCAACATCTGCTCTGGAGCTCCTGGCCTGTGAGCCACATGTGACCTTTCTGACCCAAAAGGCATCCACTGGCCCATTTACTCGTTACAAAAAGAAACGGCTGATGGGTGTGTGCTGTCACCCAGTGGTAGTGAGCATGCTGAGCACGTGCGAGGCCGAGTTCAAACCCAACACCAAAACCAGAAGCTTCAATTACAGTGGGGAGGCATGTGACTGGTCCAAAGAGAGAACAATGCAAGTAAGATCGCTGATTCTACTGTGACCAAGTCAATGCACAAAGCCAAGGGCTAAAATGCCAAGGCCTAGTGTGTCTAGTCTGTGAAGGGTTAATGTGCAACCTGCACTGAGAGTGCCCGGTGCACAGTACCAGGCATCCTGGACCGGACAAAGGGTACCAGGAAAGACACTCTGAGCTGCTGCAGAATTAAGAGGAATCAGTTCTGCAATCAAAGGCAACGCAAGTAGGGGAAGCACAAGGGGGGCCACTGTCAGTGTTTCTGCTTACACTGAGCATCCTCATAAAGAGAAAAGCTTCCTTCCCCCATCCTCAGCTGAGGCCCACGTGTACCAGCATCTCTGTGGAGGACCATTGAACTCCACTGGAAAATAGCCCAAGGCACTAAGGAGCCGAGTACAAGGACCTTAACCATTTCCACATATAGCAGATCTGCTGGCCTGGCAGGAAGAAAGGCAGCGCCCGCTGTCTGGGACAGCTCCCAGCCTCTCCTCCAGCCTGCTCTACAACCTTTGGCCCTGTGAGGCTCTCACAACTCAAGATCACTCCAGATGTGCACTCTGAGGGGGTCTGAGGCTGCCAGCCTTCTCCACCAGGGCTACAAAGCAGGTTTCCTGGCTAGGCTGAGCCCCTCACATCCCCAGTCTTCCCCTGGCATCTGCCCAATTCCAAAAGCTCATAAAAGCAGCAGCAGTTGCTGTCCTGCATTTGGTACCTGCCTCTGCCAGGCAGCAGGTAAAATCCATCCCATCATTTGAACTTCCCGGACGCTCAGAGCAGTCCCTATTATCCTCATGTCTTAGGTGACATCTGCAGGAAGGTCAAGGCCTTTCTTATCCTGTAAGGCACAGAGCTAGGACCTGAGCTCAGCACCAAATCATATCTCTGTTTACAGACAGAACACATGCAGTGCTGCAGGCTTCCACACTGACACCATGAGACACTAAGCACATGTCTCGATGTCTCCTCCTGTGCTCCGCCCAAGTTCACCTGAATTCACCCTCTCCCAAGACCCTGACGCACATCTGCTGCAGGTCCCCTTCCTGCTGCTCACTCTGCATCCCACTACCAGCTCCTGTGTCCTGCAATACCAAGGGCATCAGTCGCTCACATGGGCACCAGCATGTGCCCTGCGCAACATGCTCCTTTCCCCTCACCCCTTTAGTCAAATGCTCACCAACTGGTTTTCCTCTAGAAACCCTGCTTAGATGACCCGTTAAAGACTCCTACTCCTGGGTCAGGGGAGATGGCTCAGTAGAATAAGTGTTTCCCTGGCAAGTGCAAGGGCCTGGGTTCAATCCCCAGTTCCGCCAAAAAAAAAAAAAAAAAAAAAGATTCTAACTCCTCTGTGTTACACTCTCCTTTCATCTGCACCCTTGCGATCTCTGTACATCCTCCAATTACTGTTGGACCCCACTGCCCCGAAAACTGGCTCCCACACTGGGGTCCCCATACAGAAGACTCCCTGCGGCACCACCATTTTGGACTCATTTATCTTCCTAGCCCCCACCTCCAGTCCTGAACTCAGTGCAGAGGAGGCCATGGAAGACACTACCCTGAGCTCCCAGGGAAGCACCAGTCAGTTCTTAGGTCAGGTCACAAGCTATGTTTCTGAAGCTCCTGCTGCAACTTCTATCCCCTCGGAAGGCAGAGGAAACACCGCTCCAGCCTGGTGTGAGACACTGCCAGACCGACGGCCACAATGTGTGGGAAGCACAGTAAGAGTCCCTGACAGCTACTCTCCCACAGCTAAATACAAGTAAATCATTCCCAAGGTTCCCTTTTCTCCAGTCAGAAAACTGCTGACTTCTACACACAGTAGTAAGTGTAGGGACACACAGAGGTGAAACTTCAAACACGCCAGTGAATGCCGCCAGGAGAGCAGGCGCCCTGGAAAGTTGTCTGCCAAGGCCTATGGACTGTTTTGGGACCCCACCTTCTGGAAGGGATACAGGCCCAAGGGGAGGGAAGCAAGCTGGCCTGCTGTAGGAGGGAGAGTCTCCAGCTTAGGCGGGAAGAGGTCCCCTGCTCTTCTTCAGTACCACAAACCCCCTGCACTGAATCCGTGCAGCCAGAGGCACATCGCTTGGCCTTTATGTTTACTTTAAAATTTATCTGAGCCAGATGTGCTAGTGCATGCCTGTAATCTCAGCACTCAGTAGGCTGAGGCAGGAGGATCACTGCAAGTTCAAGGTGACCCTGTACTACAAAGAGAGTTCAAGGCCAGTGCTGACTATATAGCAAGACCAACAAAAAAACCAAAGAATGTTATCTGCAAAGGGCAGGAATGTCTCTACAGATTAGCCAGCAGATGTGCCTTGAACTTACAGCCACAGTCTCTAAGGTTCCCGCGCCTCTGCAGTCAGTACCATTTGGCACTCTTTCTAGCCTTTGTGGGACATCCCTACCTCATGGCATTGGAAGAGCAAGGCCCGACGAGGCTCGCTCTGCACACTCAGCCTGTCCAGCTCATCCTTGGGGCACTGGCACTTTCACTCTCTGGCTGGCTGCCCTTACCCTCTCTGAGGAGTATCGAGCCCTCAGCTCGCCAGCTTCTTCCCATGGCCCACCCCAACCCTGGTGAGCTCACCCGCACTGTCCTAGCCTCATCTCTACATGACCTGCAGAGTCCAGTACAGGGACACGGACACCAGATGGTCAACTGTAGAATGAGAAACTCTGGCTATCAAGCTTGGACGTATCAGCATTATTAATTTTGAGGTTTCTCCCACTAGCAGTCAAAATGAGACACTGATTTAATATGTACATAGTTCTACTAAAAGTAAAAATTCAAATGTATCTCAATGGAGCAAGATAGACAGGTTGGCCATACCATGAAACTCAAGGATTAGGGCTAGCATTAAGTTTATGATATCATACTTAAAGAAAAGTTTCTTTTAGAAGCCCATAGCTTACTATATGCAAAATTTTAGCATATTGAATACAATAATAGAAACTGAAAAACACACTTAAAATGTCTGAGTCATTCTTTGAACAAGATGGCAAAACAGGACTGAGTCCACTCTGATGGAAAAACGGGAACTAGGGCCCAGCACAAGCTGAGGCTCGGCAAGTGCTGGGACCCGGGCCATGCATAGCCGCCCACTGCAGCCTGCTAGGCGCAGCAGTGAGGACACAGTTGTCAGGAGGCTTAGAGAGGGCGAAGTCTTGGCCACAACACCAGAGCCACCAAGCAGCTGCCCTGCAGCTTCCAACACGAACCCGGGATTCTTTCCAGCACAGTGGGCGGCTGCCTCACATAGCCACACTCCCAGACACAAGTGCTCCAGTGTTGCTGTACCTAGGACAACGCGAGCTGCTGCAGCAGAAGACAACAAAATTAGAGAAAGCCACACCCATGAGTCCATAGACAAGGCTGGGAACCCGAGCACACCACCCCAAAAAGCAACACAGACAATTCCTCAAATACCTGAGTAACTAAACCCAGAGGACAAGAACTGAAGTGCAGTTAAGAGTTTTGAGTCAATCTGGTAAGGTGTTAGCATCCAGCCGCTGGGGATGTTTTTGTTAGCTGACAGCTAACAAAAAAGATGTATGCTGTGTGATTTCCCAAAACTTTTGAATTTGAAATTACCTACCCTTTTCATTTAGGACCAAAAATATCTTACATGCAATGAATAATGTGATTTCAGCTGAACTGGGGTCTAGATTCCAGGTT